CACAAAAATGTATTCTAAAAAAATATACTATGTCTCAGCTAGTTTCTCAATAAGATCCTTCTTCCACTGATGATGGGATGCCCCGTCTTCAATCTTTCGATAAGTCTCAAGAAATGCTTGAATGTGTTTTGTGTGCTTGAAGGCCTGATGATTGTGCCTCATAGTCCATGAGGCTTGACATATTTCTCTCATCCTTGTTGATTGTGTTGTGTAGGATCACACAACATGTCATGATGTATTCAATAAGTCCTTGTTTCAGAAACAAACAAGCCCCAAGACAATTGTAAACCTTACTTGTGGCACTCCAAATGTTGTCTCAATGTCCGCCCTTGTTGATTTTGCGCCTTGGTGAAATGCTTAGTCTCGGTGTTTTCAGACCAAGATGGATAGATGTCATCTGCTAGATAGTAGCCTTGGTCATACTGACGAACATTCACCATGAAGTTGAAAGGCGGAGCAGGACCACTAGCTTGCCTTGCATTTAGATGAGATTTCTACAAGACATTGATGTCTTTGTGAAATACAGGTAAACCAAAGTAGCACCTAACCAAAAAACTTCGTAGGCAACCTCTTCAAAAATAATTGTTGGGTCATGGCAATGTCGAATGAATTGTTCGCCCAATCCATAGGCCAATTATTTCTCCTCCAGTGCATTCAGTCAAGAAACCCTACCATCCCAAGCCATCCTCTTGATGCATTCATTTCTAGAAGTCTTGTCCCTCGACGTTGGGTGCCTGCAAATACTGCCCTCTATAAACCCTCATTATAGTTTCAATGAACACCTTCGTGCACTTTATAATTGTATCTTCAACCATTCAAGATAGTCATCCAATGCATCTGCAAAAACGCCATATGCAATCATATGAAGTGTCTCTATCACCTTTTGATAAGGCGGGAGACCGACTCCATTTCTCGGTTGCTGGAAGAAAGGTTCATTGGCTTCCATGTCGTTAGCAATCTGACAGATTGTTGTATGACCATGCAGAAGCGTTGCCAGAACACATAACCAGTGAAGGTATAACACAGCAAAAACTAGTTGTGTATGAGCTTGTAGTTGCCTTCAATTCCGATCTTCTGAATTGCCGCGCGACCAACCTGCAACCCCACACACTTCTTCTTTGTTTCAGCCATTGCTATCCAATTTGCAACAATCAAGGGAATCTTGTCTTCTTTGACATTCATGAATTCACTCTCAGACTCAAAGCTCGAATACGATGATGAATGGTCAAAAAGTAGCTCTACCAACAAATCCATATAAACAAAATGCAAATCTTATGTCATCCACGCGAATCTATGAGCCGCTAAACAAAATTTATGAGAAAAAGGCTAAGGAAATTTACCTCTGAGCAAGTCGTTGGACATTTTGAGGCCACGCGATGGAAGGGGTGGCACGACCAGACGGCGGGAAGCAGAGGAGGGGCTGGGGCAAAGCGTGGGGTCTGACAATGGCTCAGCGAAGGCAACTAGGCCTAAATCACGCCGGTCTAGGCGATGGCACCAAATAGTGGAGGCACAGGGATGTGTGTGACGATGGAAGCGAGTGAGTGTCTTGAAATATTTGTGGAACCAAGATTTGGGTGGATTCGGGCGCGCTATATCGCCTAATATGGGGGCTCACGGGCTTGATTTGGAGCAGTCTTAAAAAATCATGCCGATGGAGCACGGGATGGTGAATTTGCTAGGGTGGGTTTTTCGGCCAAATAACCATACTAGTGGTTATTATGCCAATCATGCTGATATGATGACTCTGCTAGCATTGCTATAATTAAGCAAAAAAACATGCATGACACTTGATAGGGTGTTTGTTCGATCTTCACATGTGTGAATGAACCGGATTGTAGGAGGGAAGTGCAAAACGTTTGGGCTGAACATGAAGATGAATACCTGGGACAATATCTACACTTAAAAACTCTTACGAAGCATGTTTTCACTTCCCTTTGTAGATAAAACACCAACCACCATACAAACAACAACACTGCACACCACCACACCACAAAACTCACAAGAAAAGATACAAGGTGCTGAGCAACAACAACACAACCCCATGCACCACCAACCAAACTAGAATTGGAAAGAAACACCGGTTGGGGTCATCAGAGCCGTCATTCATGATCAAGCAACAAATGGGAAAGACGTAACCAAACACCAACGAACTATAGGCTCTAAGGAGGCGTCTTCAGGAAGGGCACGCCGTAGGAGCTAACTAGAAGGGTTGGGCGCGCTTTGCTGCGCCGTTGGTCTTGTTGAGTTTCTTAAAAAAAAGCCACTCTGTTTTAAAACATAAGTCGTATTACTTTTTTGAAAACTCAAACTTTTTAAGTTTGATTAAATTTGTAGAGAATAAATCAAAATCTATAATATCAACTCGGTATGATTAGATTCAGCATGAAATGAATTTCCATACTCTTTTGTTTAATATTGTGGATGTCGATTATTTGCTCTGAACTTGGTCAAAGTTACTTCCTCAATCCATATATAGAGCCTAATGCATTTTCCTAGACTAATTTTTACCACATGTTAAAGTAATTATATATGTCATGCAATTTACACAAAGCATTCTGTCAAATTCGTACGTGAAAAGAGATTCTCATGATATAATTTTCACATTATACATCTCATATACTATTGATCTTATTAATAATCAAAGGTAGTTTTGAAAAATGCATTAGGCCTTATATATATGAATGGAGGGAGTACAAAAGTTTGACTTTCCAAAAACTAATAGCCCTTATATTTTGGCGGGTGGGGGAGATGATAGCGTGTGTTTTATTTGTTATTTATAATGCGGTGATTTGGTGGGCCTTTCGTGTGTGATTCTGTGTTATCCGCTAACCAACCTACATTTATGTGGGAAAATTTCCATGTTGGTGCCTACATGTACTATGTTGATGCTATAATATCACATGGTGGCACCTTTTCCTTTCTAGGTGGTGGGAGGGGTGCGCGGGGTTGATATGTTTTATAGGTCGATTGTTGCTGATTGTTTTGAATTGTTCGCCCTGTCGAAATTGTAAACCAAATCCAAAATTGAATACCTAAATTGAATGAAAGAGCTTCAAAATTAGGGAACATAGTGAATTAAAATAATTGAGTGGGAGAGCTTGAGAAAGTGTTGACCCGGTTAAAATTGGGTGACCCAATTCTAAATTAAATACCACAATTCATTGTGAGGCCTTGAAAATTAGAAAACATAGTGTATAGTATAAAAGAATTAAATAAGAGAGCTTTAAAGAATGTTGATCCAATCAAAATCGGGTGACCCAGTTCTACTTAGAGACCTCAATTGAATGTGTGCTCTTTAAAACTAGGGGGCATAGTGTTAGAGCATCTACATCCAGACTTAAAAATCCGGCCACCTACACGCCCGCGGGCGCGTCCACGAACAACGTCAGGTGGCCCCTCATATGGGCTGCCGCACATCCACACACCTCAAATGCGGAGTCTCAAATCTATGCAATACATGCACGTCGATCATACGATACAAATTTTTCGAACTCAATAGTTCGAAACAAAGCAAAACAAATCATAATTCAACAATCCGGACATGCCAAAATGAAATCAATGTCCGAGCATGACAGATGCCTCGCTGGCTGGATGGATCACTCGCCATACGCCATCCATGCAGCCTGCTCCGAGGCCATCCTTGCGTCTTGCTTCGCCTGCAACCGGACCGTATACTCCGCATGCATCCTTGCCACATGCTCCGTTGCTGCCGCAGCCATCTTCGTCGCCTCATACTCTCTATGGCCATTGATCTCCTTCTTCGCTGCACATCACTTCTTTGCATGCTCATCCAAGTGGGTTTCGTCTGCCAACATGATCTTCACACCCTCAGTGTCCCGTACGAGATGTAATCTCTCCTTCTCAAACTCAATCTCTCCAAATGTCTTGGCCTTCTCGATCCTCCTCTGGCCCCAACCTGGTCCGATGGCGCAATCCGCGTCGGCGGACGGATGGATGGGGTGCGGGGTTTCGGGCGCGGCCACGGAGGAGGGACATCTGCTCGTCCATGTCCGCATCAGCTCCCTGCGATGCTGCCGCTTCCCTCTCTCGCGGCCGGCGTCGCCGTTTACTTCAGGTGACGTTCTCCGGCTTGCACGACGTAGCCGAGGGTGGGACGCCAACGGATGAGGCGGACGCAGCCTCTGTCGCGGCGGTCGGGGACGGGCTGGACGACATCTAGGGCGGTGGATCGGGACCGGCGGTGAGGATGAGGAGCAAGGGTGGCGGACGGCGCACGGGAAAGGTAAAAGGGGGGCAGGAGGAGGAGGAGGAGGAGGAGGAGGAAGGGTTTGGTGGATTTGGTGCAAATTGTGGTGGAGTAAAATTGTCGGGTCTGACCTGGCAGACGCGCCCGAGCGCCCCATATACCCGCTCATATTTGGGCTGCATATAAGGGGTGCCGATCAGCCCGGGCATTTGAGGCCCGTTTAAGGAGCCCATCTTGATCGCATTTTTGTGACCGTGTCGTTCTCCCGAGCGTTCGAGGCGGGTTTGAGGCGCTTCGCTGTAGATGCTAATAGAGGATATGAAAATCAGCATAGCGTCCCCCGACATTGAGAATCTCACTTTTTTCGAAAGTTTATTTTTAATCCTGACATCATCTTATGTATAAAAACAACCCTGTCCCAATCATGATCAAGACAAAACACGGTGTGAAGAATTCAGATTAAAAAAAATTGCGGCAGTGATAAAATACCAAGTATCATCTATCATGGCTGTCGAATTTTGTTCAAAATTTGTTACTGCATTATATTTTTGTCGTGTTTTTATTCATAGCTAGCATGAAAACGAGAGAAAAAGCGACTGATCGATGTAACCTCGCTTGTTGCCTTGCGTTTGCCGTCTGGGGTGACGTACGCGATTCGGTGCTTTGCATGATCTGACCGAACTTGCTACACGAACGTGCGCAGCGCAGATATAGGCGAGTCACTGACGCTAGCTGCGCACAAAGCGGCGAGAGCTCAGCTCACTCACGGTCACGCGCACCGCTAGCTCCCATGGACTACTCCACCTCCCTCCTCCGCCTCACCTTCCTCGCCCTCGGCGCCGCCCTGGTCCTCATCGTCGCCCGCTCCGCCTTCCGCCTGCCGCTCGCCATCGACGCCCCGGCCGCCTCCTTCTTGCACGGCGCCGGCGGCTGCACCCGATTCTCGCCGTGGGCCTGCCGCTCGCCACGAACCGGCAAGGCCCCGCCACGCCGCCCATCGCACGAGTCCGACGTGCCGCGCCACCCGCTCGACCCGCTCACGGTGACGGAGGTCAACCGCGCGCGCGAGCTCCTCCGAGCGCACCCGCCGTTCGCGTCGGCTCCGTCGGCCCTGGCCGTGCACGCGCTCGCGCTCGACGAGCCGGACAAGCCCGCCGTCCGGCGCTGGCGGAAGGGCGCCCACGCGCTCCCGCCGCGCCGCGCCGTCGCGGTCGTCCGCTTCCAGGGGGAGTCCCACGTGCTCGCCGTCGACCTCGCGGCCGGCAAGGTCGCCCCTCTGCCCGTGCCGGCCTCCGGCTACCCGACGATGACCATGGACGAGCAGACCGCCCTCTGCGCGGCGCCGTTCAGAGACCCGGCGTTCAACGCCACCATCCGGCGCCGCGGCGTGCGCCTGGCCGACGTCGCGTGCCTGCCCATCTCCCCCGGGTGGTACGGCCCCGCCGAGGACGGCGGCCGCCGGCTCATCAAAAGCCAGTGCTACTCCACCGAGGGCACCGCCAACTTCTACATGCGCCCCATCGAGGGCCTCACCGTGCTCATCGACATGGACACCGGGAAGGTCGTCCACATCTCCGACCGCGGCGCCGGCATCCCCATCCCGGCCGCCAAGAACACCGACTACCGCCTTGCCGCCAACGACGACGCCGATAGATTCGGGTACCAGACGGTGCGGGCGCCGTCGATGGAGCCGGCGCCGGAGGGCCCAGGAATCCAGATTGAGGACGGGCACACGGTGCGGTGGGCCGGGTGGGAGTTCCACCTCAAGGCGGACGCGCGCGCGGGACTGGTCGTGTCCCGCGCGACGGTGCAGGACCCGGCCACCGGGGCGCGGAGGGAGGTGATGTACAAGGGCATGGCGTCGGAGCTGTTCGTGCCGTACATGGACCCGACGGAGGCGTGGTACTTCAAGACCTACATGGACGCCGGCGAGTACGGCTTCGGCCTGCAGGCCATGCCGCTGGTGCCGCTCAACGACTGCCCGCGCCACGCGCGGTACATGGACGGTGTCTTCGTCGCCGCCGACGGCCGGCCGTACGTCCGGGACAACATGATCTGCGTCTTCGAGCGCTACGCCGGCGACATCGCGTGGCGACACTCGGAGAGCCCCATCACCGGCATGGACGTAAGCTTCCCTCCCGCACACCCACACCTACCCTATTCTCCCTGCTACGTACGTCGCTTGTTTTGTTTCGCCGCACTACTATACTTCGCGCCAAAGCTCTGCACAAGAGTAAAATATAAAAGCTGATGTGGCACAAGTTTTGGCAACTAGTTATGGAGAATCTTTGATTTCATATACACGCACTCACTCAACAACAACAACCTTGTCAATTCTCGCAAAAAATAGGACCTCGACAATTTCGCACGCATCTCAAAGTCTCAAACAGGGGGCCGTGTACTTTTTTGTATTATATTTGAAAGGACATAAATGGTGGATTCGTGTGAAACCACATGTCACCTCGAGAAATATGTGTATACTTGGTTCATAAAGTGCGGAATCAGTGTCACAAAACAACAAGTTTGAAAACCAACTTCACATGATTATGATATATACCTACTTATAATAGTTCTAGGTATTTCGAAAAAAAAATATGTTTCAAAAACCGTCTTATATTTTGGTACGGCGGACTATTTAAGTAGAAATACTGACAATTTATATACACATATAAGTACTCAAGGAATATGGGTATATGGAAATACATACTTAAATATGTACTAGAAAATATTCTGGATGTGACTTTGTTTTCCTCTAAAGGAATCTTCAACACTAGTCTAGCTACCTGGGAAGGAGAATCTTGGACAAGAAAAAATCAGGCCCAAAAAAAATCGTGCGACAGTAGTACAGTACTAGGCAGAAGGGAAGGGTCCTGTCTTGCTGATACTGACCGAGTGACAGCCGGCTTGGCGTTTATTGGAAGTGGAAATCGCCGTCGCCACTCGAGTGAACCTCACTTTTTTGCGTTGCGTTTGCCGGTAGCATGCTCTGATCGAGATCGCTGGATGGTTGCGGTGCAGATAAGGGAGTCCCGGCCGAAGGTGACGCTGGTGGCGCGCATGGCGGCGTCGGTGGCCAACTACGACTACATCGTCGACTGGGAGTTCCAGACCGACGGCCTCATCCGCATCAAGGTACGTTCGCCATCCATCTTCCATCCCGAAAGGTACCACAAATTCAAATTTGGCACGCTCACACAAATGCAGAGCAGTGTGGTTCGTACGAGCCTATTTTCTTATGAGTGCAAGGTAAAAATATCGGGCTTCTTGCTTTTTATTAGTGGAGCTTCACGTCATAAAGCACCTTGCTCTCTCGGTTTGCCGGAATAAAACGGGGTGTCATTTTCGCTCCTTCCGTCACTGCTAAGAAAATTTTGTCCAATGTGCACTGTCTTTGCATGGTTCCTTGCATCAGTCCCCATCTTTGGGTAGCTGTCCCCCTCTTATTTCAGCAGAAAAATGGAAGGGTGTCCAAGAAACTTGTAACTGAAGAAGTAGTGACCTAAAACGTCTTATATTAGTCTACGGAGGAAGCACATTACAAAGATCAAAACATGAATGTGAATGATTTGATTGTTCCATTTTACCAAAGTTCACATGATCTTCCCTCGATGGTTTCAGGTCGGGCTCAGTGGGATCCTGATGGTGAAGGGCACGCCCTACTCCCACATGAACCAGGTCCAGCAAAACGAGGAGATGCATGGCACCCTCCTCTCCGAGAACGTCATTGGTGTCATCCATGACCACTACGTCACCTTCCGCCTCGACATGGATGTCGATGGCGCCGACAACTCCTTCGTCCGCGTGGACATGGCCCGCCAAGACACCGCGCCTGGCGAGTCCCCACGGAGGAGCTACCTCAAGGCCACACGTCATGTCGCGAGCACGGAGAAGGACGCCCGGGTCCGGCTGAAGCTCTATGAGCCGGCCGAGTTCCACATCATCAACCCGACGAAGAAGACACGTGTCGGCAACCCCGTGGGCTACAAAGTCGTCCCGGCCGGCACTGCCGGTAGCTTGCTGGACCCCGAGGACCCTCCGCAGAAGAGGGGCGCATTCACAAACAATCAGGTGAAGTGTCTACTTACACGGAATTTAAGGCTTTTTTTTGCGAGGAAATTTAAGGCTTTTTTGTGATACCACTATTAGGAGATGCACATACTATCTTCTTGATGGCACATTATGGGTTAGTAAAAACACCATTTATCAAGGGACAAAAACAAGACGCACATATACTTGGTGAAAATCAATTTTTCTTCATCATTTGGTTTTTTGCAACAGATTTGGGTCACGCCCTACAACAAGAACGAAGAATGGGCCGGTGGGCTGTTCGTGTACCAGAGCAAAGGGGAGGACACGCTGGCTACTTGGTCGGAGAGGTACGTTTGTGTATCTACAAAAACAGTGGATTTGATGGTCCGAAAAATGTTAGCCGTCTGATTCGCGTATGTGGGCGCACAGGGACCGTCCGATCGAGAACAAGGACCTGGTGCTGTGGTACACGTTGGGGTTCCACCACATCCCTTGTCAGGAGGACTTCCCCATCATGCCCACTGTGTCGTCCAGCTTCGACCTCAAGCCAGTCAACTTCTTCGAGAGCAACCCCATCCTCAAGCAGCGGCCCACCATGGAAAAGGACCTCCCCGTCTGTGCCGCTACCGCCTAAGACCAATCGACAGGATACATATGTGCTCGAAGACAAAGCCCGGGCACATTGGGTTGTTGCCTGGGCCATGAGGCCGTGCGTAGGCTTCCGGGAGCACCATGCAGTGCCCCTAGCCTTGCATAATCATGCCTCCGCCTCTGGCTAGCCAATAGTCTAGTATGTGTAGCTCTATGTTTGTGTTGTATGGTGCTTTTCTCTTCATGAATATGAAGTGTATTTAGGCTGTCTAAGAATCTTGGACCGATGGTAATAAATTGGGTGCCGACGTGAAGGAAAATTAAACCATTGGATTCATGTTTAAAAGTAATATTGTATTGTTGTAGTTTGTAACTATTAATATTATGCATATAACAAATTTGTGGCCAGAGTTTTAGCTTGGACAATCAAAATACATCCTAACAACGGAGAATGGCCGTACTAATATTAACAATAAAATCCAGCAATCTGCATCTTGTGTGCAAATACTAATATTAGTCGTAATTTCTGACATGAGAAATGAAGTGGGAGAACCTTAGACATGGAATCAAGAAGTGCATGACTGTTTTCTTTTGGATGCCCTCCATCGCTGCCTCGTCAAAGCTCCAGTGGCTGTCGTGCATCGACATGGGCGCCGACATGCCGCCTATGCTGATGGTCGACCAGATCGCCACCGAGCTATCGCCGTGCAACCCCACATGTACACCTGCGAAGGGGGCCATTTTCTTTGCTTGGTTAGATTTCTCACCGATCAAAACTCCATCCAACCTCAGTCCAAACTGGCATTAAGTCATTAACAATCCTTTCCTTTTACAACCGATTCAAGCCAATGTTGGTTAATATCCTGCAACAGAAAGTTATCTTCATTTAGTATAGCATGCGTGGACATAAGTATTGAATTCATGCTCCAGCTAATTCATCCAAAACTCTAAACTGATGGAGAGAGGTGGGTACATATATTTCAAAACTGTTAGATGTGAAAGGTGAGATTGCATGCATCGATAGTTCATTAATCAGGTGCATGGTGCACATATATAGGTACAAGAGGTGTCGAACTTTACTTGTCTCCCAAGTTGTACAAATATATAGGGGAGAGAGGAGGTATGACGTAATAAATACAATGCCCGAGTCCTATACATGTATACATGTTCAACACCCTCGCGAAGTCAAAGCGTCACCGGAAATACAAAGACTGGACCGAAACTCCTCAAAGGTCGATGTCGGTAGGCCCTTCGTCATAACATCGGCGAACTGTTGAGCGGTAGGCATATGCAAAACTCGAATCCAACCAAGCACCACCTGTTCACGAACGAAGTGAATGTCGAGCTCAATGTGCTTTCTTCGTCGATGATGAATGGGGTTGACGGAGAGGTACATGGCAAAGACGTTGTCACAGTAGACAATCATGACATGAACCTCACAAAGCAAGCAACTCCTGAAGCAACTGAAGAAGCCAAGAGCACTCGGCAACGGTGTTAGCCACTGCTCGGTACTCCGCCTCAGCACTCGAGCGAGAGATCATGGGTTGTCGCTTGGACGACCACGAAATCAGCGAGGGCCCGAGGTAGGCACAGTATCCAAATGTAGAGTGACGAGTGTCGAGGCAGCCAACCCAGTCTGCATCTGAAATAGGCAACGATGTCAGTGAAGGAGGAAGCCGTCAAGGTGAGTCCGATGGTCATAGTGTCGCGTATATACCAAGGAATACGCTTGAGTTTACGTGTTAGTTCTAGTTTTTATGTTGTTTCTTTACATCGTTGCTGTAGTTTTGGGGGGTTTATGTTTTCTGTTGGTTATTTAACTTTTTCTTTCCCCTTTTTTCTTTCTTCTTCTTATATTTTTTCACATTTTAAAAGACGTGGTGAAAAATTAATGCATAGTAAATGATTTTTTTAACATGTCATACATATTTTTAATACATGGCGAACATTTTGTTAAGCAGGGTGAACATTATTTTAATGCACGGTGAACAATGTTTTAATACATAGTGAACAGCTCTAAATACACGTGGAACTTCTTTTCTTTTTTGAACACTGAACTTCTTTAAAATGGCATTCATCTATTTTTATATAAATGTTCACATTTTTCTAATTTCTTTAATTGAAATGTTCATGCACTAAAAAGTGTTCACAATATATGTTAAGAAAATGTGTTTATGCTAAGCAGAGAACCTACTAAAAAATGGGTACAATTTCCCTTTAGTGTTCTTCTCAGCTCACAATTTCCTTCAAGAGAAAAAGACTTCTGAAACAAAAGCACACCCGAAATATCAAACAAAAAAGGAAATGAAACTTCCAAACAGTAAAGGCACGCTCCAAATAGGAAAATAGCGTACGAAAATAAGGGGAAGCATGTAATGGGCCACAAAACAGTTAGCCGGCAAGCTCCCATTGTTAGTTGATAGCGTAGTCTCGACAATCGGACGCTATAAGGCGTCAACTAGGAGGTCTCAGAAATCTTGACACCTTAAATGAATGGCTATGACGGTAGTGCGTGTGAGTGGCATCATCATTGCTCCGGTCTGATTGCATTTCCTTTAGTCAAGCGTTGGCAGTATTTCGTGTTGCAAAGATCGATGCCATGGAGAAGATGTTTCCGAGAAATTTCACTATAGTTCTTAGTTACAGGAGTTACTTTGTAATTTCTTGGATTTATGATCCAAAGAATTATACCTGTAATATTGGTCGAGCTTGAATAAAGTTTCAGGTTTTTCTAAAAACATATACGAAATGGATGGCTATGAAGTCGACTGAGATTTAACTGCACATGATAGATGATCTACAGAATCCCATATAAAACACCAAAACATCTATCTTAGTACACCGTAAGTACGAGTCACTACGAAGGTGGCTAAGACGAGCTCCAGGCAGGGATTCGTCCATGGCGGACAGGACTCCGGCTTGAGCGAGACGACGCTACGTTGGACGGAAAAGACGAGCACTGAGGCGCGGAAGAGCGGCAGCTCACCACAGGCTCGATGGACGCGACAAGATGGCCGGGGACGTAGTGGAGACGGCGAGGGAGCGCGCTGATGCCGGCAATGGCCCTCGGCTGCGACGAAGAAGACGAGCTCGAGGCAGAGGTCCTTGTCAAGGACGACGGCTCGGGGAGGTGCTTCCGTCCAGCTACTGGAACAGGAGGTTGAAGGAGACTGTCGACGAGTCGTGAGACATTGCGGCGAGGCTCCACGTCTTGATTTCTGGTCGCTATTATCCGCCGACCAACGACATCGCTAAGTTTCCATTAAAAAAAAATCTGTCTATCCTACCCTTAGAAAACGAGGGTACCCTATACTGCTCACAGGTGAGGGAGCGGTATACTAAAATCCGACCGCTCGTTTTCTAAGGGTAGGATAGACAGATTTTTTTAATGGAAACTTAGCGATGTCATTGGTCGGCGGATAATAGCGACCAGAAATCAAGACGTGGAGCCTCGCCGCAATGTCTCACGACTCGTCGACAGTCTCCTTCAACCTCCTGTTCCAGTAGCTGGACGGAAGCACCTCCCCGAGCCGTCGTCCTTGACAAGGACCTCTGCCTCGAGCTCGTCTTCTTCGTCGCAGCCGAGGGCCATTGCCGGCATCAGCGCGCTCCCTCGCCGTCTCCACTACGTCCCCGGCCATCTTGTCGCGTCCATTGAGCCTGTGGTGAGCTGCCGCTCTTCCGCGCCTCAGTGCTCGTCTTTTCCGTCCAACGTAGCGTCGTCTCGCTCAAGCCGGAGTCCTGTCCACCATGGACGAATCCCTGCCTGGAGCTCGTCCCGCACGCACACGCCCAGCCACGCGCGCACTCGTTCGCACTCCACGTCCGCTGCAACAGCCGGAGTGCACGCGCCGCAGGTCCACAATGACCGCTGCCGCCTCCAGTACGCAAGCAGCACCAAAGCGTCCCCTCGCCTCATCGCCGTCCGCGGTCAGCGTGATCCTAGAGGGCAGGCCGGGACAGCCAGCCGCCATGATCTCGCCTACCCGACAGGGACCTATGTGGATACGAAGACGAGGAAATACCAGTCACGGGTTAGCGCCAGCGTGACGGGGTCCCAACAGTGCCGGCGGGGTGGCGAGTCCTCGAGAGCCTCGCAGCGGGAGGAGGGGGAGGGGGGCGGGGGAGAGCAGCAGGGACAGCCTCCTGACCCACCATAGATGGCACGCACGCCGGCGGCGGCTGGAACCAGTGGGTGCGGTTGGGAACGAAATGGAAGGGCAAGGGCAGGATGGGCCAGGTCGACACATGGGCGAGCTCAATTTTTTTCTTCCCGAAATGACCTCACGACTTGTATACTGGAGGACGGAAGCGCTGCAGTATGGGCTATACCGCTCGCGATTGTATTGGCCAACTGGAGCAGTACAGATTGATTGCCACCATAAGATATCACAAATGGACGGCCAATATTTGCCGCGGGGTATCATAAAAGAGCTCTCACTTATACCGTTAGCAGATGTACTACCAGTAGTAACGAGTAACTAACTAGGAGGAATCTACGTATCCTTGCATGAACAGCAAGCAATTAACCACATCAACATTGTCTGTTTGTGGCAGCTGCAACATGTTTTAGCGTCAGTTGATTCTCCCTTCGCGCCCGACGGGTCTGCTATGGCGACGGCAGCTCGGGCATGGGCGGGGCGGCGAGATGGCATGCCGCGGAAGGCGGTTCGGCATGGGTTGAAGGGCCGGTGAATGAAAAAGGTCGAAGTAAGTCGATGATGACCAGGACTAATGTTGGGGGGGGGGGGAATCACCCTCCCGCATCGCTCCCATGAGCGACCCGGAGTAACCCAGCCCTCATCGCCTCCCAGTGGGCGGCGGCGAGTGAATGCGTGCAATGATCTTTATCAGAAGGCGTAGGTCATGCACTCATGCATGCACCCCCACGGTGACATCGGCACTCAGCAGAATCAGCATGTCATATGTGTACTGCAGAATGGGGCACGGCAGCAGAGGGTTGAGTTGGCATCGTCAGCACCAAATAGCAAGGAGCCGAGGACTCGTCGTTGGAGAGCCAGTGAAAAAAGCCATGCTATAGCA